TATGTGTATGCTCATGATTTTCATAGCTGTAAATTTGGACCTGTAGTTTTCTTTTAAAGTAGATTGGAAATACAAAGAAAAAGCATTACGTAAGGATGTGGGGTGATTACTGTGGGTGAAAATTAGAGTGGGTAGAACAGACACAGTTGAAAAAGCAGGCAGGGAATCTGCACCCTAGTCCAGACATTGCCCACAACCTCACTGTGGAGTTTTCTCAAATCCCTTAATCTTCTGGACCCCCTGGTTACCTTATCTTTGGGACAGAGTTGCAATTAAATGATTGCTCTCATCTTTTTAGTTCCAAACCTTACTCAAGTCCCCAAACTGAATAAACTAGATTCTCCTATATGAAGGTAGTTGAGTTCAGTTCAGTCGCTCAGTCGTGTCCGACTCTTTGTGACCCCATGGACTGGAGCGCACCAGGCTTCCCTGTCCATCACCAATTCCTGGGGCTTGCTCAAACTCATGTCCATTGAGTCATACAACCATCTCATCCTGTTGTCCCCTTCTCCTCCCGCCTTCAGTCTTTCCCAGCATCAGGATCTTTTCCAAGATGGGTCAGTTCTTCACGTTAGGTAACCAGAGTTTTAAAGTTTCAGCTTCAGCATCAGTCCTTCCAATGAATATTCAGAACTGATTTCCTTTAGGATTGGCTGGTTTGAGCTCCTTGCAGCCCAAGGGGCTCCTTGCAGTCTAAGGGATATGAAGGTAGGGTGTCTGGCAAACCTTCCAGTGGTAAGGAAGATGGACTAAGTGAGTTTAAATCCTGTTCATAGTTTTATTATTATTGGGAATTGGATGGAAAGAGATAAACGTGATTGAACTTTCCGGCAGTTATAAAATTATATGAAACCCACTGTTGTCAGCTAACCTTTTAAGCTTGGCTTCTAATCTTACTCACCATTGCATGCTCGACACCTATTACACTGCATGATCAGCATGTTGTATTTTGAGAATACTTTCACAAAAAATTGATGGGCTTCTTGACTTGACCTATTTATTTACTTTATTAGGGCAAATTAACCATGTCTCATAACGGCTTTGAAAATTCAGAACATGTAGGAACAAATGATATACTAGACAGAAAGAAATCTTAGAGGCGAAATTTGATGGTAGATACCAGGCTGGTAGTCTTTATTCTTCGACCCAGTGGGTGGTGTTTCTGGATTACAGATTCAATAGAGGGGTTTTAACTATTTGAGTTTAATTTCAAGGGGAGTAAAGAAGTCATTATTTGTGTTTAATAAATAAACTATAGAAATAAAAGTGATATGATGAATATTTTGACTGTTCAAATTAACCTGAGATTTCCATAACACTTTATGTTGTTCTGCATCATGAATTATTCTGAAAGACAGGTATGGCTTCTGTTCTAAAAAAAAAAATGCAAACTCCCAATTTTGCGTGCAGTTTGAGGGGTTTCATGGGCTCCATTAGGTTGATGAAGCCTTGTCTTTTTCCATATCTGGTGGCTCTTAATCCAAATTCCCAATAGGAAAAAACCCTGGATGTTAAGCCTTAGAAGTCCTTAGAAATAATCTAGACCAGTGTTTCTTCAACTGTGGTCTTTAAGCCAAGGGACTGTATCAAAACTAACATTTAAAAGAAAAGAATAAAACAGAATATCAGAGTGTTTCATAACATGCTAAGCGCAAGTTTTGTTTTGTAACCTGTGTTTTCATTTGTGTGTAGATCTGTGTGTTTATGTGTGTCGGTACTAGGTCTGAAGACAAAAGTAGATTTCTCACTGCGGGTTGAGGATGAAGTTTGAGAAACACTCCTCAGTTCTCGATGAGCGTCTGCACTGTGCAGGCACTAAGTTGTTCATCTTTTCCACACTTGGCATTTTTTTTAAGCGTTCATTTTTCCCACTAATTGTCTCTTTCATCACCCTTTGAAATAATTTGGGCTTGAGCTTCTTTTCCTGAGTATTGAAAAGTATTTGGGGGCCTCTCCATTGGCCTTCTCAGTCTGCACATCTGAATCATAGAATCTGACTCCGAGAGGCTAATCAGAATTTCAGAACAAGACATGACGGTTCAAAATGAAGTTATTTTGAATTATTTGTCCATTCATTTGAAAATTGAAGGTGATATGTGGCCCCAGATGCTGATACCAATCATTGAGAATACCTTACAACATTCCCTTAATCATCTGTATGAGGTTTTCTCAAACTCGAATGTCATACAGATGACTTGGAGGGTTTTGTTGAAAACGCAGGTTCTGATGCAGACGCTGGCTGAGATCGAGGTTTCTAGCAGCCCCCCAGGAGATGCTGCTGCTCCCTGGACCACATGTGCAGGCGCAAGTGCCATATATTAACTGCCTCATTATCGTGGTAAGAAGAGGGAGCTCTCAGTAAGCTTCTGTTGTGGTTTTATTAGCATTTTCATGCCTTTCCAAATTGGCTACAAAAATTAAAATGTCTTTCTTGTTTTTTAAAAACTGGATTAGTTTTTGTAGTGAAAGACATGTCTTTAAAACAGCCATCTCCTCAGTCCCCACATCCGAGAGGAAGGGCAAGGCCCCTCTTTGCAGCACTGTTCTAGGTGATTCCAATTTAACACACATTTCCAGGCTTCTCTGCAAAACTTAATTTTCTAAATAAAGAGCATTTTCTAAAATATTATATAATTTTCTTTCTTAAATTATTACGTGTGCTTTTCCCTTTATTCTAGCCACATAAGAGCAGTGTTTTTTGTAGGCACAGGTGAAGGCTGTTGAACTATATGCAAAAAATGAATAAAAACCACGAAACTACATGCTTGTGTCTGCCTATTATACCTTTTCTATTTTGTCCTTCCAGCTGCTGGTAAGTCTGTCTCAAAAACCTTCATTTCCCTTCCATTCTAACTGATTACTTCTGACCTAAAAAGCCAGCTACTAGATTTGTTAGAAATACGCAGGGAATTAATCCCAGTCAAAAGGTGCTCCCTGGCGTGTAGCCTTTCCTGGGAGAGTGGTGGTCAGGAAGCGCAGTAGCGCCTGAGCCTGAGCGAAACCCTTTGGCTCTAATTATATTCTGAGGAGTCAGCTCTGATGGGCGCTCACTCGCTTCTTCTCTGTGCCTCTCTCCGTGTGTGTTGCTCCCTCCCTCTCCCTCACACACAGGCTCTGTGGTGAAGTGTGTGTGCGCACGTTCACGTGTGTGTGCACCCTGTGCCTGAGAAGGCGGTGCACGTGCAGAAGCGGCGCCTCAGGGTCTGCAGAACCAGGGATGGAGAACCTGTGCTAAAGACCATGGTTCTCTGCGCTCACAGTCTGTCCTGCAGTGGCTTTGTAAGCAGGTCTGAGAGTGACGTGATGACAGCAAGGAGGGCATGCCTCAATGCACTTAGTGACTCAGGGTCCCAGGGACTTAAAGTCTGGTTTCCAGTGTGCGCTCTTAGTAGACCGTTGGTCATAACAGCGACCGAAGGGCCCGTTCCTTGGACCCTCGCTGTCAGGCACTGACTATTCGGATGGCAGTGCTGCAGTCCTGGGCTGTGGTCCTGGAGGGGAGGCAGATGGGGCCGCCCTTGGGAGCAGCCAGAGTGCCGGGCTTGTCTCATCAGTCCCCCTGGAGGTACCTGTGCGCGTGTGGAGCCTGTCCTTACTCAGCAAAGCTAGAAACTGTTGGAGGATTCACGTCTGTGAAAACCACACAGTAGTCGGTATTATTCTGATTCAAAGCAGAGGGAACCTGTTTGCATCTTAACTACATAGCATCAGAACATACATTATTTTGCATAGTCTTGTTAATGACTGTGTGTTAGAATTTTTGGATTATATTCTTTAAAATTGTGATGAAGCTAAATGTAACCATAACATTTAGTTTGGATTTTTCGAAGTTCTGAACAGGGCCCCATTTCACATATTTTTAGTGAGTTGTAACCTTTAAATGCTGATTACCAGATTGGTCTCATTTGAATCTTATTTTTACATTCAGAATGTGTCTTATGTTTCAGTGCAGCTAAACCTGCTGGTATCATTTTAGTCTAATTAACAGTATTTTGTGATCTGGGACTCCTGTCAAAGTTCATTATAGGAGCTAGAAAACACTGGGAGGTAAAATGAACACATGACCTCATCTCCTGTTTTGCACTAGACTCTAACTTGCATTCGAAGAGACTAAAAATGGAACAAGAAAAATTTCATTCTTTTATTATATTAAGCTCTAATAAATGTGTTTAGTATGACTTCTCTATGTGTAATCCCTTTTAGCTGGTAAAATGGAGGGTTTTGTTTGAAGCACTAGAAACTAAATGCTGCCAGGAGAAAGATTTTACTAGAAACATAGAGTAGATATCAGTCCCTAAGCTTTGTTAATTGATCCTGCTTGTTTAACTGGGAAAATAAAAATGCACGTCTGCTGAAGAGAACTCTGTGGACATAAACTCTTCCTGTTTTCAAATATGTTTCATAGGTGTTTATCTTATTTAAATGTGCAGTCATATAGTAGCCAAGAGAATGCAACTGCTGTTCCTTTAACGTCAGAACGATGCACGCTACAATAGGTGTCACTGTTTGGCTTGGTCCAATCATGGTTGGTGACTTCAGCTATTGGCTCTGAGCACTGGCTGTCTGACTCCATCTGCAGGGCTGTAATACCTACTCTCCTCCGGTCCATTCACCACACAACTTCAGCCGGCTGAACAGACTCACGCAGCTCCAGCACATCTTGATAACCTAATTCAGAAAACAAGCACCACGGCTCTCTCTGCCTGTCGTCTCCTCTCAGTGTAGCGTTTTCAGGCGATCTAGGAAACTGGGTTATTTTTATGAGCAAATAAGAGAAACAGGAATCATGATGGGGATGTACTTAACAGACCCAGTACTGGATAAAACTTAAAACCAGTGTCTCATTCAACATAGTAAAAAGGTCACCTTGCCTGCCTGAGAAAAGAAGCAAAATATCAGCTTGTTGGTTTCAGTTCTCATCTCAGCTCGTGCTAGCCTCTTTTCCCTGATGCTCGCACCGACTTGGGATATCTGGCTATAAAGAGAGACCTACTGTACTCATGGTAGATGACAAGGAAAGGAACATGAAATGTCTCACCTTCTTCTTGATGCTTCCAGAGACGGTAAAGAACAGGTCCAAGAAAAGCTCGAAGAAAACAAATCCCAGCAGCAGCAGCAGCAGCAGCAGCAGCAGCAAGTTGCCTCCAGTTTGTTATGAAATAATTACCTTGAAGACTAAAAAGAAGAAGAAGATGGCTGCTGATATATTCCCCCGCAAAAAACCAGCCAGCTCCAGCAGCACCACTGTCCAGCAGTACCACCAGCAGAATCTCAGTAACAACAACCTTATTCCTGCCCCGAATTGGCAGGGGCTCTATCCCACCATTAGGGAGAGGTAAGTGCCGGGCCAGCATATTTACTTGAAAAGTTTTCCTGTGTTGAAGTCTCTGCTTTTGCACAACCTGTAATGTATTTTAACATAAATCTGTGTTTCCTCTTTTCCCAGCAGCTTTATTGGTAATGGAAAACTGCCTTGTATCTTTTCCAGAGCAGTACAGCTGTTTTCCTCTTAGATAAAAATGTTTTTGTAAGCTGTAACATTTAAGTGACAGGGTTGTGTCTTTGGGTTATAGGAGATAGAAACCTCTTATTTGTCCTTAAGTCTAAAAAAAAGTTTGGATAACTTTTTTTTTTTTTAACTTTAGTTACTTTCATATGTTTGCAGTGATCACAAATGCAGTTGTATAGTTGGAACCTTTATTTGTAGTTTTATCCCAAAGTTACTCAATGGTTGTTTATCTTGTGACTCTTCCCTGGGTTTTTTATGTTGGGGAGGGGGTGTTACAGTGCTGTGAATTAATGAATCGCCTCTGTTTATAGAAATGCGGTGATGTTCAATAATGATCTGATGGCAGACGTACACTTTGTGGTTGGGCCACCAGGCGGGACGCAGCGGTTGCCAGGACACAAAGTAAGCAGCAGCTGCATTGCCGGCTTCGCCCTGAGCTCGCCACAGAGGGGCCCTCTCCCTGAGTCCCGAGCGGGGCTGGGCCGCTTGCAGGCAGTGCTCAGTTCCCCATCGCAGAGCAGGCACAGCCTCTCCAGAGGGCCTTGGCCACGCTTAATTTTTTTTTCTTTGTTTCCTTCTATCCTGCTTTATATCCCCCACAAAAACATGCCCTCTTCACTCCCCAGTCATGGGAAGTTGTTGTGATAGGTTTGGAAAGTCATACGTTGACCCTTCTCCTAGAAATCAGTTAGATGTGCTTTTGTTTATTTTATACTGAGGGACCCTGTGTGTATTAATCTCTGAAAGCCTTGATAATTAGCAGCACAGAGACTGGTTTGCATGAACTTCTGTCTTTTGCTTTCATAGCCAGATCCTCTGGACCTTGGCTTTGTCAGTAGAGCAGGTGTTAGGTGCTCTGTGTCCACTGATCACTTTAGAGTTGCTTTTCTGGAATGATTTGCTGAAAATGTTTTCAATTTGGTGCATGAAATAAGATTTCCCCTTTTCCACAGTACGTCTTAGCTGTTGGGAGCTCTGTGTTCCATGCAATGTTTTACGGAGAACTTGCCGAGGACAAAGATGAGATCCGTATACCAGATGTCGACCCTGCGGCTTTCCTCGCCATGCTGAAGTAAGCCTCACACGTGTGTTTGGGAAGAGTCTGGGCTGTGTTTGTGCTCCGCTGGCTCCACAGTTAAGTGTAACTTCCAGGTAACACAAAAGAGGCTGACGAAGAAAGGGGCGCTGCTCTACCCAATAAATGTTTTCAAAGAACACTCCTGTGCATCCTGCCGTGGAAAGCATATGGGATGAAGCAGGCGTTTCTAATCACACCTTGGCGTGGAATTTAGGGGCAAGTGGCATACAGTGACTTCATCTTTAATGACTTAGAATTAAAGATAACTTTCTGGTTAGGGATTATCTAACAGAATATGTTCTCTGTGTGTGTGAAGTCTTTAGAAACACATAAATTATATTTTGGTGTCACAATGCCAGAAATTGTATGCATTATTTAAATTCTACCAGTTAGGAGGTTTTTAAGTTTCCTAGGAGTTATTGTTTCCTGTCAGCAAATATAAAATTAATTATCTGATCTTCATGCACACATACATACACATGTTCTCACAAAAAGTCACATACCATTTCTCAAGGGTAAGAAGCATTTGCATTTTGTAGTAAAGGAGAAATTTTTGAAAGATTTGATTAATTTTCTATAGTTTTATATGGATTTGTTCAGAAAAACTTTAATTGGTCATTCAGAAATACAGTTATAAGATACACATTTATTTAAAAAATAGTTTCCTATCTCATGAGTCTTTCAGAATCCAGTACATGTTAACCAGGTAAATAGAATCTTCTTCTCTGACGTGGCTTGATGCTGGACAGTGTTACAGTCTTCAGTGTGTGATTAGAGTCCAGTGATTGTTCTAAGTGATGTTTAGGTGATTTTTGTTGAGCTTTATTCTAGCAGACCAAAGTATATCAGAGTTCAAGGTTATGTGCTGCTCTGGGGATGTTGAGTCATTGGAGTGCATTACAATGTTTGTTGAAAAAAAAAATATTCATTGGGTCAAGTTGGACAGTAATCCCACAAACAATTAAAATGTTAATATATATTGTTTTCTGCCTACTGAAAAATAAGTATTATAGTTAATTCCTAAACTTTAAAGTGTTGTAATTCTTTATTTATAATCTAGTTTTGAAATCTGTCTGTTACTCTTTAGAACTTTCACAGTGGGAGAGGTTGGGAAATTAGAGGCAAATGAGCATGTAAAGTACCAAAACATAAACTAATCCACCTCTTTCAACCAACAGAGACTTTATGACTTTTGTAATCTCTTAGAGATCTACTTATAGAAACCTGTCTTACCTGTAGGAATTTTTGTGTGCTGTTTTCCCCCATGAGGTTAGCTTTGTATATTTGACATTGTTTCTGTTGCAGAGGAGAATGCTGACACTAGTTTGGTGTTTTGGCATCACTGTAGTCAAGTAGAGTGTTCTGTTGCTGCAGAAATGTGTGCATAATTAGAAAGCCCGAGTACTAGTTACACAGTTCCATTTCACCAGAGCCGTTTGATTCATCATTTGACAAGCATCTTTTCTTATAAATGTGTTGCCTAGAATATATCTTGACACAGCTTTAAAAATTATATGTGCAGTCCACGTAAAGCGGTGAGGATCAGAAGCATAGCAGGTGCCGTTTACTGCCGTGCCATGCTGGATCAGCACTGCGTGATCACCTGGGCGAGCGGAGGCCAGGCTTGCTTCACCCCCGTGTTGTGGGTGAAGCAGCAGTACTGCTGGAAGGGCGTTGTCAGGAAGGAAGAGAAGGCTGCTCGCTTGCCCGCCAGGGCGAGAGCCGCAGAGTGCTGACCATGCTGCAGAGTCCTCCTGCGGTCCCCGTGCTCCAGCATCACTGCTGCGGGCATCTTGGCCAGCAGTCTTGCCATCTTGCCAGTAGCTGTGTTCGTCTGTCAGAGAAGAGTAAGGGCTTCCTTGGAGCACAAGTGCAGCTTCCATTTGTGATTGCGATCATTGTTCTCATTGCCATCCTTATATTTTTTTGTATTTTCTTACAGAAGCCCTCTAATTTCTTGTTTCACTAAGGAAAACTTCATAGCCAAGTTGCTAAACACCTTAGCTAGAAACTTTTTAAAAATTATGTTTATTAGTATGTATTTTTCACCTGTGTGCAGTTCTCACTGACTTACCTCTTGGTCAACGATAGAATATGAAAGAAGCAGATGATTTCTACCTTGACATACCATCCTGGGAGATTGCCCCTGTCCCCCAAAACAGTAAGAAGTGTCTCCTGGAATGCAGACACTTCACAGAAGCACACAAATAGTGCATATTTAGGCTTTCTTACTTTATCTTTTAATTAAATATATCTGGAAATAATATATTCTTTAATTCTGAAGGTGGAAGGAATGTGTGGAGGAGAAGAAAAAATTTAGAGTTTTACAAAAAAAAAAGCAGATACAAAGCCTGCATTGGATTCTATGTAAAGTTAACTGTGAGATAGCATCAAGCATCGAAGCCCATACTTAAATATCCACTGAACTTGGGACTACTTGAAAAATATCTTTTTAAAATCAGATTTTATTTTGTGCTTCAGGAAAATCCAAGTCATTCTTAGTTAAAAAGCATCAAGATGCAATCATTGTAACATTACAGTATTAAAGATATTTGTTTCCATCTGAATGCATTTTTAAGTAAAACTATATACATATATTTCTCATAAAACAAGGGAATTATTTCTAATTAAATATAATGCAGTATATATATATATATATATAATATAATTTTGCTATTTTTCCCCTAGTATTAACTATCTTTGATCTCAGCCCTTTCTCAAACACTTCTCGAATCCTCGATTTTTTTCCCCCCTTTGAGAGGACAGGGAACATAGCTTTAAGATAGAGGCTACAGTGGTTACATGAAGTTAATGTCTTTAATTATACACACTTTCTACTAAATTGAAGTGCATTTATGAATGTATTTCAGATGTTGCTATAATGTGTAATCATTTTTGTAATAACTGCCACATAAGATGATTTTCTTGGAACTAACTTGAAAGTAGTTGCATCTTTTCTTGCTGGACACGCTCATTTGGTGAAAATTCCATTTACACGCCGGACTCTTTCTTGCAGATACATCTATTGTGATGAAATTGACTTGGCTGCTGACACGGTCTTGGCCACTCTTTATGCTGCCAAAAAGTACATCGTCCCTCACCTCGCCAGGGCCTGCGTCAATTTCCTGGAGACCAGCCTGAGCGCCAAGAACGCCTGTGTGCTCCTGTCCCAGAGCTGCTTGTTCGAGGAGCCGGACCTCACCCAGCGCTGCTGGGAGGTGATCGACGCTCAGGCCGAGCTGGCGCTCAAGTCCGAGGGGTTCTGCGACATCGACTTCCAGACCCTGGAAAGCATCCTCCGCAGGGAAACTCTGAATGCCAAAGAAATTGTGGTCTTCGAGGCCGCCCTCAACTGGGCTGAGGTGGAATGCCAGCGACAGGATCTGGCTTTGAGCATTGAGAACAAGCGCAAGGTGCTGGGCAAGGCGCTCTACTTGATCCGCATCCCGACCATGGCCCTGGACGATTTCGCCAACGGTGCAGCGCAGTCCGGCGTCTTGACTCTGAACGAGACCAACGACATCTTCCTGTGGTACACGGCGGCCAAGAAGCCCGAGCTGCAGTTCGTGAGCAAGGCCCGCAAGGGGCTGGTGCCGCAGCGCTGCCACCGCTTCCAGTCCTGCGCCTACCGGAGCAACCAGTGGCGCTACCGGGGCCGCTGCGACAGCATCCAGTTCGCCGTGGACAAGCGGGTCTTCATCGCGGGCTTCGGGCTGTACGGCTCCAGCTGCGGCTCGGCCGAGTACAGCGCCAAGATCGAGCTCAAGCGGCAGGGCGCGGTGCTGGGGCAGAGCCTGAGCAAGTACTTCTCGGACGGCTCCAGCAGCACCTTCCCCGTCTGGTTCGAGCACCCGGTGCAGGTCGAGCCGGACACCTTCTACACGGCCAGCGTCATCCTGGACGGCAGCGAGCTCAGCTACTTCGGGCAGGAGGGCATGACGGAGGTGCAGTGTGGCAAGGTCACCGTGCAGTTCCAGTGCTCCTCCGACAGCACCAACGGCACGGGCGTGCAGGGCGGCCAGATCCCCGAGCTCATCTTCTACGCCTGAGCGCGCCGGCCCCCGCGTCCCGCTCCGCTCGGCCGCAGCCGGCGGGCTGTTCGCGAGGGTCGGAGCTCTGCGGACTGTTCGCGAGGGTCGGAGCTCTGCGGTTCTGCTTTCTTTCGACCTTTTTCGTTATGTACAGGCGAAAATGCAGCACTCAGCTTTTAACTGTATGCCGGAAAGCCAAATTCTTAGCAAGGCTTGTGGTTCTTAGAGTTGCATCTATCCACCCGGGGAGATTTTGCATTCTTCTCCAACTGCCCCACTGACCTCCCAGTTTAAGAACATTTTTGGATCACCTCAGATTTCCTTTTGGGCTTTATTTTGACAAAGAGAAAGAAATACCCTAAAATAACAGTAGCAATTATTTTTAAACGGAAACCCTCCCTCTCCCCAAACAGATAAACCTCAGTGTACAATTTTGAAAGACATTTTGCTTGATAATAATTTAGAAAGTAGACAGTAGTCATCTTTACCTTCTTATTTCCTTTTAAATATTTTGGGCATTTGCTTCTGGACATTGCTTCTTCTTAAATCCTAAATTCATAAGTTTCTTAAATTTTTAAACTGCAGCTGTCAACGGAAGGTAAAACAAGTAAGAAATTGGAAGTTTTAGATCACTTTTGTTACAAGCAAATTTATGTTCTTTTAGTTTAGAAGACAGGCAGTTACAGTACAGAGGCTTCTTTTAAAAATAACTAAATTGCAAAACTTTATTGTCAACTAGAGAAAAATTGCAGGTCTGTTAATTGAAATTAAAATAGTCTTAAAAGGAAGCCTGAAAAAGTCCCACGTGACAAATAGTTTAATTGATGGCACGTTATAATCCAGAGTTTGAAAAAGTCAAGCTCTTTTCTCCCTGCTGAGCTTCTGATCCCTGCCACTTGCTGGTTTTCAAGAGTTGTACTGTATAGAACTCCTATTCCCCCATTCCCATGAAAAGAGGACCAAACGATTTCTTCAGATGAATAGAATAACAGTTAGTTTTGTAGTGCCACATGTTAATGTAATAAGATACTTTATGCATTGATTTTTTTTTTAATCTGAAATATATTTTACCTAATCTACTTTGACCACACTCTCTCTCCTTCGTTAATTATGATTCTGCCCCGTTCCTGGACTGCTAGAATCTGGCCTGTGAGCATCTGAACGAGCCAATGTATGCCTGCAGGGTTTAAAAAAAATGGTCTGGAGTGATAAACTCGATGATACCTTAATGTTCACTGCCTCAGCATCACATCCAGTTCTTTTTTTTTTTTCCATGGATAGTGTAAACAAAGGAGGGAAAAGCTCATCAAAACATTCTCCTTCAGCAAAGGCTTGTGCTGGCTTAGTGCCCGTGACCCTAGTGGTGCCCACTGCGGTCGCTCCCAGTTGAAGTATCCACGTGTTTCTGGGCAGCTTCTCTGCCCAGTGTGGTCCTGAGATGGCTTCGCCGCCACCCAGAGTGTGGTCCCTGGCCACCTCCTTCTCCTGTTCTGTGAGCCGGAAGCTGGCTCTGGAGCGGGGGCTAGTCCCGGGGTGGGTGTGCGCGTGGGTGCCCGTGCGCATGCAGTGCGCACCGGCTCAGGAACTGTCTCCTGCCGCCCGGCCAGCGGGGCCGGGACAGAAGGGTCCCCGGGCCGGGCCCACCCGGCCCGCAGAGGACTGCCTGTGCTTCCGGGCCACTTCTTCCCCCGTAGACGTGGGCTGCTGCTTTGGCCGGCTTCCCCGATGGAGAAAAACACTGGATTACAGAAGTGTTTTAATCGTCTTTGCCCTTACCTGTGTCTGTTAGCATGGAGGGTCAGAAGCTGTTACCAGTGATTAACAGATGAGTGCTCCCAGGACTACCTTCCAAAATTGTCTAACAGTTATTTTTTATTAGCAAGATGACAGATAGTAGTTGTGGCAAACCGTCTATGAAACGGAGGTACGTTTTCAATTAAAAAAAATACTTCTACAAAGGGTTTTGTTTATAAATTACGGTTAAACATTTTGGTAACTCATAGCTACCTTGCATTTGGTAGACTATAGACTTACCTGATCGGAAGGCACTTATGTATAAGCCAGAGGAAAAGAAACTTTTTAGCACTAATTTCATCATACTAGACTGTTGTTGGGGGGAAGTGTGATAACCTTGTTCATTAAGTAACACCCACGATCAGTGCTCTTCTTAGTAGCTGCCCTCCAGAGGCTGGCAAACTGCTGGGTGAGAGCCCCACTAGAGCCTGTATACTGGGTATGGAAGAACTTAATTTTATGATACTTGCTGTCACTTGAAAAAGGAAAAAAACAAAAAACCCATCATCTGATTGGCTGGTGCCAAGAGCTGTGGTATAAATTTGAAGGTTGTATTTAAAATAAGAAAATGTTATCTTTTGAATCCTGTTCTCCCTTCTGCGTTTTCAGTGACATGGAATTAAGGATAATGTGCTTGCTTTATTTTCTTTGGTAATCTCAAATTTTGTAGCTTTTGAAACTAGAAACCATTGTTCTGACAAGGCAGGCACCTATAGTGCATAAACACGATTTTATGAAACACTGCCCTGTAGATGCTTTTCCCCATGTATCTGGCAGTCTTTGTTGTCGTTTATATCCTGGGGATAAGGGGAACTAGGCTAGCAGTTCTAATGTAACATTCTTTAAGCATAGCTTAATATAGTATTTAAGTAAATGGTCTAATTTCTACATAATTATTGCACTGAGATGTCTTTTTTTTTTAAGGTGTCTAAATAAGCTTGCTAATTCAAGACACTAGCCAGTTGTGCATCAGAGTGCTTGAATTCAGGAGCTTACAGCATTATTTATGAAGGAAAAATATATAAATATGAAGTACCTCATGTTGAATGTTATTGTACTGTATTTTTAATGTAACAGTGCAGATCTTGTTAGACACATGAATGTGTATAATCATGTTAAATGCAAATAAAATAAAACCGGTTCATATATTTGTCTTCCTTAACATTTTTGTAGGTCCCTTAAAGTAGTAAAAAAAAAAAACCCATTCTGGCATTTTGGTGCCACTTAACCTTTTATAGAGATGGTTTTTGCAGGAGCATTTGTTTGCTGAGTTACTCACATATCATTGATCCCTAAAGAAGTAAAAATCTGGTAAAGAATAATAGAATAATGAACATGTTAATCAGTTGCGTTGTTGGAAGCCCGAGTGTTAGGTCCGTGCGAGAGTGAGTGGGCGCGTTCGCGTTCCGGTTGCGGAGCTCTGTAGCTGGCCGGCGTTCTGCTGTCAGTTGCTCACAGGCCTGTAGCGCTCCCTCCGCTCACTGCTGCCGAGAGCAGATCACATCTAGCGTTAGCGTGGCCAGTGCTGCTTACTCCTGCTGTTACAACAGCTTACATCTGGGAGTAAAGATCAATGTGTTGTGACAGTGATGAATATAATTTTATGTCCTCAACTGGTTTTCCATTATACTTCCCTATATCAAGTACATTATATACACACATAATTATATACACGCGTTTTTTTTTTCACTATAACTTCCTGTTACTTTTATACTAGAGTTTATTGTGGAGCCCTGTGTATTTGCTTAACTACTTCTACCCTTAGTTCAGTTTCTATAACAAAACTGCTCAAAGGAATTTTGGAATTATTCCATAGAATATGAGAACTGGAAATATCCATTCTCATCAGCTTAATTACAGCCTTAATTGCAAAGATCTTTAATCCAGCAAAGTCTTAGCCATTATCTCCTCTCTGGTGCTCTTTAAGCTTAACCCACATGTGTTTGTTTCAATATCCCAAGACAATTGGAAGTGATGCTCCTTTATTGTTGGCACTCAGAATCAACACTTCATTGAAATTATACTTTCTTCCCAGTGACTCTGACTTCCCTGCCAAAGCCATGGACTTAACGTTGAGGAGAAAAAAACAAAAAGACAAAACAGGAAGGAGAAAAATTATTCCCGGGGAAGTAAGTAGCATGAAACTTAGAGGCCAAAACAAGAAAGTGACTCTGGGAACCTGCAGTATCTTGTATTAGAGAGGCCTGTGTGTGCCCTTGAGGTGCTGCAGTAGAAGATGACTGTGCTTTTTGATTTCTAATCAATATATTTCAGCATGTTTTCTGAGCCATTTACATTTATTGGTGAGCTACTTTCTTTGCTCAGAACTTCATGTTATCCTCCATTTTTTTAAGAAAAGATCATCTAACAAAACTAAAACTGGGGGGAAATTTCAACAATAGAACCTCTTGTTTATTTCTATAACTACCCTAAGGGCTGGTGAGAAAAGTGTTTCACCCAAGATACAGTTTGCTAGGTGTGAAGAAGGAAGGTGTCTTGTGAGGAAGACAGTGGTCACACACCAAGCAGTATGTGACTATGACATCTGTAGATTACCCACTGAAGGGTCTGGGTACGTTTGCCTAAGGTGGGCACCCCCTTGTTGTTCCTTCTCAGCCTTTTTGAGTGGGGGCGATGGGGAAGGTACCATTCCTGTTTATGCAGATCTTAAATGTCCTTATAATGGTAGTTTTCTATTTGCCTATTTACTTAAATGTCCATTGGACAGCAGTTGTACCAGCAGATGCTACTGTTTTATACTTGGCCATCTGAAAAACCAAATATCAAGAAATATAGTTAAACAAAAAAACCCACCATTTACTTTGTCAAATCCGTACTTTGTGTATTGGACATAGTTAACGTTTCCTGTTAAACTGCTACCCCTGAATCTTTGGTTTGTTCCCACTGCCTCCAGTAGTAACCAAGCTGAGTGGTAAGACGAGGGGCTGTGCTTTAGATGGCAGGGATGATTTTTTCACTTCATGCAGCAGCAGTACACAAATTATTTCAAAATAAAGGTGTATTGTTTTGTTTTTATGACTTTGATGAACAGTTTATATTTAATAGACCATCTCTTTTACATCAGTTTATTTTAGAAGAATGAAACTATACCTGGAAAATTTTTTAAGTAAGTCATACTAGTGGGCTTGTTAACTTAATTTTGTATTTTTTGACTTATTTCACTGAAGTATAGTTGATCTGCAGTGTTGTTAGTTTCTGCTCTA